TGTCAGAAATTGTTGACCTGAGTTCCCTACAGCTCAACATAACAACATGGCTTTACTTCTTATACTTCATTTTTATACTTTTGTGCTGGATGGTTAAGACCAAGATAAAGCAAGACCATGCAGCGAAGTTATTTTAAAGGAAGGATGTGTACACTGTCTCTGGGTCAGATGAAACATACAGAGAGGGTTATGCCATCCAGGAGAAGAGAGTTGAAAGCCATGTCCTGGCTTAGTATTCTGGATAGGTCTCCTTCGGAGGCTAAACTGAAACACAGTGGAAAGAATGGACTTCTAGTGACACCAGAAGGAGCTATTTCAAAAACAGTAGTCTTAGCGACCAAAACACATTTAGTCTAAGGGAGAATCTCTGATCTTTCTTCTTCTCCTAAGTCTGGTTATCATTTAGATGTATAAGAAAATACTTTAATAATAAGCTGTGGACTTTAAAATCTTAACTGTAAAGTGCTAGGTAGTCTTGTTCAGACTTTTAAGTATCATTTAGAGAATGTTAACAAACAGTGGTTGCTCTGCCAGCTAGTTTATAAGCTCTTAGATCATTCGCCATGCTCTGAAGCAGAGGACAGTTTTCTCCAGCATTGCTTTGGTGAATCCTCATTGAAATCAACTGCTGATGGAATGTTGATTAGAGAGACAGCTGGATTCCTTTCTAGAGACTGAGCTCTGGTTATGTGGGCCAATAGAAACTGAGAACAACTGACAGGTCATGGCCAGGGCTACTATCTGGCAGACACACAAAGATTCCTTGGTGCAAACTGGCTCCTATTCACTGAAAAATCTCCCACTTATCTATTTTTTTCTTATCTCTTTCTTCTAGTAAACTAGGAATTCTCCATAGTATTTTCATTGTAACCATTTAATTACCTCTTCCTTCAGCAATTAGGCCTAGGCAGCTTGCAACAATTCACATTCCACAGCAGCTATCAGGGTAATGATTTACATTTGTGCCTTACTTATGTTAACTAAAAGGAAGATTTTAGTCAGCCTTAACTAATATACTTTTACCAACTGTGATTGCTAGATAATAAATATAAGTTTAAACTGTGAGGTTCAAAGATTTAAATAAAAAGAGAGCCTTGTCCTGTTGCTAAAAGGTTTACCTAAGTGATTAGGTGGAGAACACAAGAGATTTCTGTGCCCTAGTGCACAGGGCAAAATTCCTCCAGTAAATTGTTCCAGTTATCTCTAGAAGTGAGCTTTGTAGCATAAAAAGTGCTCTACTTACAACTCACATTTACATATGCAATACTTTATTGCAACGTTATGCTTCCTTCTTTAGACATTACTGTCACCAGACCAATTTTAACTTATTCTTATAGGTGCCAATTAAAGCGAGTACACAGTTCATGACGTTACTGTGAGGAAGAAATCATGCACCAGCTCGTTTGAATAGGCTGGTCAGATTTTGTCTTCCAATCTCTCCAGATGGCATCTACGTGCCCTAGAGTAAAACATACTCGAACGCCACCTTTGAGGGTATAAAAATCAATTATAAGTGGAGAGGGGAACACCCAAACTATTGATTTGTATGAGAAGGCCACAGTCAAAGTCACAGGAAGATGTTTACTTTTTTTACTCCCTAGATCCAAAATGAAATGCAGAAGGAAATATTAAGGACACTGTTTTACAACTAGAAAGATACTGTGAAAAAAAGAAGAAAAATGGTGAAAAAAAGCCTTATGTTCAGATTATGTTTGCTTTAAGAAATAGTCTTTATCTAGTTTCAAAATGTAGATTTGAATCACAGGATAACCAGGGACTGCGGGGCCCTAAGGCACACACTATCCTGGAGCTCAGTACATCTTCCCAGCCTTTGGATCCTGAGGACAGACATCCTTAGTCTAATAAACCTCACCATTACTGAATGTAAGGCTTCAGCTGCTTGTCCATCTGGTCTGGAGGTTCAGGTTTGTAGACTAGCTTTAAGCCAGCCCTCTACACCACTATACTCATCCTTAGCTGAGTTTATGCAAGCTCATCAATGACAATATCCTTTACAAAAAGTAAATAGAAAATGTAAAACTTCCAGTGTTCATGTATTTTTTCTGTCAGTGACCTAAAACAGATCAAATCAGGTCTTGAAAAATTCTAGATGACCCTGATAAGTACATTGATGTCATTAGAAAATTTACGCAGATCTATGAGCTAGGCTATAAAGAGGTAATGTTAATCTTAAATCAAACATTTACTTCTAATGAGAGACAAGCAGCACTACAAGCTGCTATTATATTTGGAGATAAATATCATGCTGTAGATTTTCAAAAACCAGAAGATATACAGATGGCGAGGGGAGCAAGCAGTTCCCAGTGGTGCCCAAGAAGACCCTACCCAAGACCCCTGCTTGCTTAATAGCCAGGCAGGACATTGAAGGAGTCATTTTAAAGTGCATATTCTTAAAGTTCTAAAAAGAACTCAAACCAAGCCTTCAACTATTTTAAATTTTCAGCTATTTATCAGGAGAAAGACAAACACTACTTGGCTTTATTAGAACATTTAATAGAAGCACTGGTAAACATACTTCCCTAGGTCCTAATTCAATAGAGGGATAGATTATTCTTAGTGATAAGTTAATTACTCAAGTCAGCTTCAGATACTAGAAAAGAGCTGCAAAAGATAACTTTTGCTCCAGATAGCTCACTTGATTCTTTAGTAAAAACTCCTTCCTTAGTATTTTATAATCAGGTTTGGAAGAAAGCCAGTGAAAGAAAACAAAGAGATCAAAAAGCAGCACCTTTGTTGTGGCCTCAGAAAAAAACAGACCCTAAGTCTGATTGTCTAGGTTCTAAGAAGAGATTAAGAACTACATTCATCTGATAGTTCTGTCAAAAGCCAGGCCACCTTAAGAGGGACTGCTTTTATTTATTTATTTTTAAATCAATTACCTCTTTTATTTTTATTTTATTTTTTTACTGATTAGTAGGAGAGTCTCAATGATTAGTACATTGCATGTTGTTATCTTCTTAGTGATTATTCATAGTACAAGATGCAGACATGATATCCTGTCCAAACACTATTAGTAACAATCTTTCTTCTCACTGAATTAAGAGAAAGTAGCTGTATATCTATCCTAACTATTTTGTATATACAGATACAAAATAGTCATTCATTTTTATCCCTTTTTTTGTTTAGTTTTGTCAGAGAAGGGTATTCCATTCCCATTTAAATATTGTAGGTGCATGAATTCAGCAAAATATTCCAATATAGTCCAGTATTCTATAATAGTAGTGGGTAATCTGCAGGACTGGCAATGTCAGAAGTTGTTCACCTGAGCAACTTCTTCCTTTACAGCCCAGCATACCAATATGGCTTCACCCCTTATAAGGTTTTTTACTTCATTTATAAGGTTTTATACCTCATTTTTTACCTTTCTGCTGGATGGTTAAGACTAAGATAAAGCAAGAGCTATATAACAAGAAATGTAACTTTTATTTCTGATAAGGGCAGTCAAGTCCCCTCAGGATTTATCCTGAAACCC